TTACTATACATGTATACCTGTGATAGAGTTTATAAATTAGGTGTAGTTTGCAAGAGATGAGCAACAATAACTAATAACAGAATAATTATAACAACATGCCAGTGTCACTATCTTGTGCTCTGGAACCATTATTAAGTCAAATAAGGGTTACCTGAACACAAGCGCTGCAATACCACGACAGTTGCTCGATCACAGAGATGCCTACTAAGGGACTTGGGGGAGGGTAGCGTGTACAGTGTGGATATGCTGAACGAGGGGACGATTCAGGTCCTAGGTGGGACAGCGCAGGATGGTGCAACATTTTATCATAATACTCAGATTAGGACAGCAAGCAATTTAAAACTTGTGAATTGTTTATTTCTGGAATTTTCCATGTACTATTTTCAGACTGCAGTTGACCTCAGGTAACTGAAACCGAGAGGGGTCTTAATCATCATTGCACGTCTAGCACTGGCACAGTGCTGGATGCTTAGCAAATGCTCCATCATTACTCACTGAGTCAATAAAACCTACCCTACGGTCCTGAGCGCTAGTCCCATGTTCCAAACGCCTGTGTGGTAGTTTATCTACTCGATAAGCAACTGAGGAGCAAGCACTGCGTTTCAGGCTCTGTGCTGGACGTAGAAAAGGGAAGACTCACAGTTTAATTGGAGAAATAGACACACAAGGAATTGTTAATATATAATGTAGTATAATAAATGTAACTTGCTCAGGGGGCAGAAAACAACTAAATAACTCAAAAGGAAAGAGGCAACTCCCTTTATCTTCCCACATTTTATAAGTTCTTTGAGGACAGGAATAATTTTTTGTAATCTTTTAATTCCCCTTTCAGCAACCTTAAAGCAATGCTTGCATATTGTAAGAGTTTAATAAATATCTGCTAAATAAATGAACATATGAATAAACGAAGGAGGTTGATTTTAACATCTGGCAGCAAAGGTATTTATGCACGCCTTTAGGCACTTGTGAGCTGTGAATAGTATTTATCTCAAACTCATGAGATGCATGTGAGTCTTTTCCTTATTATCTCAATTTTGATCCACTTTACAGGTATGGCAGCGAGTGCAATTATGACAATGTGCTAGATTCTCCCTTTCCCTTCCATATGCGTTTTCAATTCAGCAAATTAAAGAGCTCCGTACTCAACACGCTGTCCTAGCTTCACAGAGCGAAAAGGGAGACTGCGCTGGCTGGAGCTGGGGCTTCGCTCTCTGGCCCACTCGGTGGCACACACACCTCTTGCAGGCAGGGACTCCCTCTGATTGTCGGAAGAGGCAACCAAAGAAAAATCCTAGCATTGATCCTCGAGCTGCTCACCCTCAGGCCAACTCTTCTTGCTTGGGTTAGGGCAGTATTTTTTTTTTATTATTTCAGCAAATTATGGGGGTACAGATGTAGGGCAGTATTTTAATCTTATTTCTATTGCCTTTAAAAAAAAAATCCTCAGAAATTTCCAGGGATGCTGTTCAAATCCATTTAGTTTCTGCGAGCTTCCAGAGGATTAGAACCAGAAACCAGAGCAAAAACATGCTGTCAGCTCCAGGGTAACCGCTCCAAGGCGGGCGTGGTCCTGATCATCTCAGAGGGTGTCAGGGTCCAGCGACCTAAAGGAGAATGCTTTGGAAACTGGAAAGCACTATACGGATGTCAGTTGCGATGACTGTAATTATGACTGTCCACCATAATTAATCACGTTGGGTCCTATTTTCCCGTATTTTCCCACAGGCGTAGCTCTTACTGACCTGAGTGTTGATATGGACTCTCTGGCTCCAGAGGACTTCCCGGGGAGTGGGCGTAGCTGGCCGTGCACGGGGACTGCGAGAAGGCGTGGCTGGGCGAGGGAGGGAGCGCAGAGCACGGGGGCTGCTGGAAGGAGTCGGGATAGGTGGCATTGTGTGGCATGAGTGGCTCGCTGTGCAGGGAGGCGCTGCGGAACTTGGCCAGGAGGCTGAGCTGGGGGTTATATTCGCTGTGTCTTGGCACGAGCACAGGAGGCAGCACTAGGATCAGAAGGGCACGAGAGAGTTAGAATTGGACACTGCTCATCAGTACAGAGTACAGTGGACATTTGCTTTTTTTGTCTGCCTATTTTTTGACGATAGAAGTGTTTTTCATTTGAGAACTATCCCCCCACTACTTTTTGTGCTCATTGTGAAACTGTCCATTAAGGTCCCCTGTCCACCACCCATGAAGTGAGTGTGTGGGTCAAGGTAAACCAACGGTCTTTGCCCTTGCGCCTGTACAATGTCACAATTCGTGAAAACATGTAGAGGAGGATCCTTCTAACGTCAGCACTCTAAAGAGACTGCCTATTCATTCCTACCTTAGAAATGACCGGAACAGTCCTAGTACTTAGCCTTCTAGAATCCTGTTTACTTCTTCCTTTAATTCTGCCAATAAAGTCTTTTTTTGGTTGTTATTAAGGCAAAATTGGTTTCTATTGCTTGCAATGAAACGTGATGCCCAGAATATTTTTCCTTCTAAGACCACGTTGAATTATTTAGATGACCTGCCTCAACTTCAGGCTCAGTAGTGCTACTGAAATAAAAAACATTCTATTTGTCCTTACTGGAAAGATTTAAAGGTGAGTGACTAAAAGTTATTATGTGAGATATAAATGGTGAATAATTAAAGTGAATAAGTAAAAGCGACTATAAGAAAATCTGTAAATCAAGTTTGTTCATTTTAGCATGTTCCTTCTGAGTTCCACTCTTTTTTTTTTTT